CAGCGCGGAAAGGGTTCGCTTCGGCGGGCACTCCACGAGTGGCTGAACTCTCTGAGTTCGTTTCGGCGCCGGCACTCGCGTGCATGCACTCACTGGGCGCGTTAAGTTAACGCGCTCGAGGGCACTCCAGCGGTCAGAGTGCACTCCAGCTAAACTAAACGACATCGTCTCATTTCCGGTGCACGGTGACGGAGCGCAGTCCGCGAGCTCCATCGTCGGAGATGGTGCGCGAGAGCTCTTACAGGTCGGTGTCCGGTAAGATGATTGAGTTTCCGATCTCGCGGCCAGTCTCGCGGTGGTCTCATTTGTCTCGCGTTATATCCTCCACGGCGATCACGTGGCAGTTCGTGCAATCGTTCGTCATCGTTGGGGATAAAATGCTGGTGTGGACAGGTATGCATACATCCTTCAAATGCTTGTCGAAGTTCTTTATGTGCCTTACCACAATTTTACGATCAGGCGCTGTTTACGTGACATCTAACGAGCTTTTAATAGCGGCATGTAAACAAAATAATGCCCACGTTGCCTTTATTGACAAAATACATGGGAAATGGAATGCCAGCGTGTTTTCGTTAGCTTCAATCTCCAGTTCTGTCGAGAAGGTAACGCGCAGCACCCCCCCCCCCCCCCCCCCGGGAAAATGGAAAGTCTACGCCGCTGCTCTTGCTGCTGCCGCCGTCACCGCGCACCTTCTTTTATTGACGTCGTCGTCGACGAAACACTCAACGGCGTTCGACGTGACGGGAGACATGTTTAAGCGCGCGCCGGAAAGCCGGAACTGGAAACATTAAAAATAGGCATCAGGTGGTGCCTCGGTACGAAAAAAAAAGGTGCACCTCCGCCCTTAGGTACGTGCCGGCACCTCTCTAGCCGCATTGCGCGACCATGCTACTGCTGATGCTTTCGTTTCCTCAAACAATGTGGGCGAAAAATGCGACTTTTTTATGAAGGAAGCAACTGACAACCGTGCTTCATTTACAAGTTTCAAGTCGCTTTCTTGCCGTACAGACGCTGAAGTCTACGAGTGTTTAAAGAGGGGCTAAGGACAAACACATTAGCAGCCCGCGAGATCTCTCTCACCATCCGTGTGCTGGTGAAGAGTTGAACATTTATCGACAAAGCTCTCCCAGCAGAAACCTGTGACGCCTCCAATCAGCATCCGGAAAGGCTGAACATAGTGACCTTACCCGAGGCTCGGGCTGAATCATAATGTTTAACGTTTACATACGTCAGCCATCTTGTCCCGTCCAACTTCGTCTAAGAAAGCTCTCGTGTCTCGATGTCCTCACCAGAGCTAAATTTTGATCCGCATGTATATACAACGATCGAAATCGAAAATCTTACGAAACGTATCGCTGGATATTCCAACGGACTAGTTGTAAGCAGAATCCTTTCAGTGGTCTACGCCTAACAGCATGTCTAAAACGGATCAAGCTTCTGTGCAGATAGTATAATCAATTTTCTCTCGTGTAAATGGTTAAAACATTGAAAGATCGCAACCAGCTGTTTTGTAGTCAGCTGGTTGCGGAGACTTACGCCGTCGAAGTCATCGAAATATAAACTACACGTCGCAGCGACCAACGTTTATAGATAA